CACACACACACACACACACACACACACACACACACACACACACTGGAGCCTCCTAATGGGGATTGTGGTAACTGTAATCCACACTTTTTTCTTTCATAGTCTGTGACACGTAGGCACTGGAGTAAACAGAAGTCAATCAGAAGCTTGGTGGCATTTCAGGGAACACCTTTAACTTCAGACATGGCTTGGGACACTTGCTGCACTTCCCTGTCCCTCCTGTCTCCTTTCACTGCAAACAATTAACACATGAACAGCAAAAAGACACCAACAAAAAAAGATCAAGGATTAAAATGCTTTCATTTTTATACATTTGTCAGGGGCACTGAAGACTTCATTAAATTGCTAGTAAATAAAATAAATGGTCAGTAAGAGCCTGTCAGCTCAGCAGCAGGTTTGCGCAATTGCAGGATGACTCCTCAGGCTTATCTTGCATTTCACAAACCAGAAGAGCTGACTGTGAGGGAAAGAAAGAAGCGTGGTCAAATATTAAGCAGCATGAGGCCTTTTATCAGCCAAGGATCAGAGAACTCTAACTACAGGCTAACCTGTCAGGATACCTGCCAAAGCAGGTGTTTTAAAATAGTCGAGGTGTTATGAAGTGAATGAGGCAATGAAAAGCTGATCTTCTCTTAGTACATATGGAGATCGCAGCATGTTCCTCTTCTGCTAACGTTACACATGCTATCACAGTTTGCGTGGTAATTTCAGTGGGTGTGTCCATCAAAGGGCTGGCATTTGTTTCACTCACGTTCACGTTATAGATCAGCCTCTTTTCCACCAACCAGGAGTTGGCATTTTGCTAATTCTCCCCTCTGACATTCCAGTAACAGGTTTTGCATTTGTAGGGAAGTGAGTGAAGCTGACAGCTTGTTTGCAGGCAGGATTATTAGCACTGCTTGGGGACAGGCCCAACAGTGAGAAAGAGTGAGGGATCTGCGTCATATGTTGTGAGGACCAAATCTGCTTAACCTACTTTAGTTTTGCACAAAATATCTTGGGTTTACTGGAGCTCCAGTATGGTAGCTATTTGTGATCCAATTTGTTGTTCATCAAAGTTTCAGTGGTGATGAATTATTTAAGGGACAACATGCAAGGGGCAAGTTTTCCTACATTAAAATATTATCCTTATTTAAGTAAAAGTCCTGAAACAAAAACGGAAAAATAGACCCTACTTAATGATTAGCAAAAAAATGTGCACAAGTGTATTTTAGTAGCAATTTCCAATATAGGGTTTACTTAAAGGGCCATGACATACATTTGAAGAGTCCTGAGATGATTAATGAAGTGAGATCTAGCCAATATTTCACAAAAAGGCCATCTTTGGCTTTTGGTGAAGTATTGGGATAGTTTTACTTCTTTGGATTAGCAAACCATTTAAAAAGTTTATTGGGGATTCTGTCTCTTGTTGAAACATTTACAACTCATAAAGTGTTTGAACTCCAAATAATGTTTGTAGAATCTGCAGTTGTCCTTTTCATATGTGGCACACAGCAGGAGATGATACACCTCACATGCGTTCTCACTACTGGCAACACTTCAGAAGGTTTAGGGAAGAGTGTTGTCTAGTTAGAGCGCACAGCAGGCAGGAGTGAAATATGCTGTGATTTCACTGGACAATACCTGTGCTATTGTTACATTGAAAGAAACAGAGCTGGCAGGTTAAAAACTGCTTAATGTACAATTAACCTGCTAAGATATTTCCATTATCAGATGCAACTTCACGCTCAGTCTATAGCGCCTTATGAAAGCAACTTTAGACTAAGAGCTAACACTGGCAAAAGGTCTTTACAAATTGCCCTTTGTAAGAGATTGCAGGTCTGAAAGGTCAAATCATCCATCAGCTTATCCAGCCTGGTTATCTGAGCTGACAGGACAAAAGGACAGATACACTCTGGATATAACACCTCACATTACATCAACATCTCTAGCCAGTTTAGAGTCACCAGTCAACTCAACACGTATGTTTTGGGGACAACCTGGAGCACTCACAGGGCCAGGGAAACCATACAGAGAGGGGCCCAGGAGGTTCAAACCCAGTAACTTCTTTCTATGAGGTGACAGCGTTAACCACTGTACTACTGCGCCTCCCACCTGAAATGAGTCAATTTTGGACAGAGCACTTAACATCCATTTATTTATTTTTAAAAATATTTTAATTTAAACTTTTTCTGGAAATGAAGAAAAGCAGAGCATAAAATGAATATTTTTGTGTGCAGCACTAGTAGCTCAAAAATATACTTAAGTTGTCAAGTTTGGTGGTATAAACAGAGCCTGAATCCAGCATGCGAGACCAGAAGGAGGAAAATAAAAGAGAGACTTTATCGCAGTTGATATGTCCAAAATAAACAGAGCCAAAATATATGGGAACAAACTGAGCTGCATTAGAGAGGTACATAAACAGATGCTTTAAATAATGGGAAGGCGGGTCTACACATACACACAGAGAGGGCTGAGAGGCAACAGGAGATTGGTGGGGATGAGCCACAACTGAACATAATCAGCACAGTTGAATACAGTTAGGGCAGGGCTAATGGAAAAACAGACCATTAAACTAAGGTTAACCTTTAAAGGAAAATAGAAAATAACACAACAATGAAATATCAAACACAGATACAAGACAGGGGAACCAGAGGGAACTAAAAATCCTAAAAAAAAAAGTGAAAATCTCAAAACCAAGGATTACAAAACTGAATCTCAATCTCATCACTAGAAAAACAATAAAACTCAAACAGAGCCCTTAAACTCAATTGCATTAACTAAGAATCCAAACCTCAGAACCTAAGTATCATAAGTACTTGAGTAAATGTACTTTCATCCAGAGCAAATAAATACAGTGTACATATGCAACACCAGCACACTGTTAGCTGCAGATTTCTGTCCAATTAGAGGAGATCTTTCCATTTCTCATTTGTCTTCAGGAACTTTCTCTAAGCAGCGCTCCATTCAGTACTGCAAAGTTTTTTTTTTCTAAAGTTCAAGGACATTAAGATGTGCTCAGAATATCAAGCAGTCCTTTTGGTTGAACCTCAATAGGATAATTTGGTGATGGATTGCACCACGTTGAGTGATACACCTGCCATCCTGTGTATGCTGAGATTCATAGCAGCCAGTGAGTAACTAGCTACAGTATGTGTGGGTGAAATACCAGAGCTGGCAGAAATGTGTGAGGGCAATGTGGAAACAAAACAAGGGGGATTTTAAAACTCAAGGGGCCCCTGCTTCCCTTTAAAGCGCAGTGTGACGAGAAAGCTAATAGGTGTCGGAGTGCTGTTAATATTTAACAGTTTCCCATGCAATATGCATGAACAAAGGCAACAGTGTGTGTGGACATGTTCCTAATTAACACAATTGCTTCCTTTTTACAAGCACTAACAGGTTACATAGACAAGGATAAACAGTGGCTGGGCTCTCCTCAGGGTCTGACTTCTGCATCCTTCACAGAGCAACATTAGCTGCACATTAGTAACACAGACATAAAGACAAATATCAGTTTGGTAGTGATAAAAACAACACAAGTACATTTTCTAATGCTTGTAGTTTTAACAGCAAGTCATCACAGTGTGACGGTGTGTGTGTTGTTTACAATTTCACTCGCTCTGTGCATTCAGATTATGTGGAGGAGCTGACGTGTGCGATGGCCAGCTTGGACCTGCAGGTTCTCAGACCTCCAGCTCTGCATTACCGTTACCTCCAAAACAAGCAGCCCAGCTCCACGATCTGACTGTACCTCCCCTCCTCTCCTCTCCCCCTCTCCCTCCCTCTCCCTGGGTGTCCCTCAATCCTGGGCCCACCATGGGAGGATGCTTCTCCAAACCCAAACCAGGTAAACAGCCTGTTTGCCCAATTCAAGCATTAGTAAATTTTGTAAAATCCACAACTGCTGTATGATGTCCTTTACTTTTTTGGATATTTTTTTTGTCTTTATATACATCTTTATAAGCCTTGAGTCATCCCTCGTTTCATTATATTTTGCTTCAAAGGAGCCAGTCTTTTAATTCTTTTAAAGTGGTCTTAAGAAATGGTTTTCTGGGTTTTCTGTAGGTCTTTCAAAAATGTATTGGATTTATTGGCTGCTTTCTCTCATTTCACTCCAGTCCTTGTACCTTACCATTTTCAAAATAATGCTTTTTGTTTAACACTGTTCAACAAGGGACCTAACTCAATGATAAACCAGTGTTCATTAGAAAAAAAAACCTATTTTAAATAGGCACTTTGTCACTGCCATCCAAAAACACAAAATTTGTTCCAATTTCTTTAGCTGAATATATGAAAAATGCCAAAGGTAACAAAGACTGATGGATATAAAATTGTATTTTTGCACTAACAAGGTGATTCCCAAAAAGCTTTTAGTAAAAAAAACCATGCCATATCACAGCATGGTGCGCAGTGTGTCCTTAAAAAATGTGAAGAAACTGGACAAGTGCCAGACCGAAGAAGAAGCCTGCCTATAAACTATCTGCAGCACATGAATAGTATGTGAAAGTAACGTCCTTAAGAAATAGGAAAAAATCGAACAAGACTTGGGGCACGACCTGAGTGATGCATTTAACCCTTCAGTTGTTCACCAAAGCCTCATCAGCAATGCTCTCAATTGAAGCGTGGCTGTCAAAAAGCCAAATTTTTCATTCAAATTGTTAATATGTACGTCAGGGCAGGAGAGAGGTGCAATAGTGAGTGTCTACAGCCATCTGTAAAACATGATGAAATCTCTGTTGTGGTTTGGGGCTGTTTCACTCAGTGATGTTGGGAATCTTGTCAAAACTGATGGCATTATGAATGCAGAATGTTTTTTAAAGAAATACTGTAGTCCTTGTAGTAGTTGTAAAGATAGTGAAGAAAATATAATACAATAATTATACAAAAAGCACACTATTTTAATTTTTATTCTATACAAGGTTAAAATTATGAAGCTTTTCAATGTAAATCGGGACCGTTTGGTGTCTTTGTTTGTCATTTTGCTTCCAAATCCTGTTATACACTTCCCCTCA